AGATGGATTGTATATATTCTTGTGAATTGAACTTGTAATGGTAGTTTATATAATGCTCTTGTGCTCGTGGTCAGATTTAAATTATATATATGTTCTGGTCAGATTTGAATTATATATGCATGTTCTGGTCGAATTTGAATTGTAAATTTAATTTTTTTGGCGAAAAAATGTATTGTTGGGGCGGCTGGTACTGTAGCCACCCATACAAATCGATTTGTAGGGGCGGCTGGTAACATAAATCGATTTGTAAGGGCGGTCTAGGAACCGCTTCTATAAATAAATGATTTGTAGAGACGGTATGGTAAGGACGGTTGGCTGAGCCGCCTCTACAAATGATCTCCAGCCGCCCCTACAAATGCTTATTGTAGTAGTGTGTCCTCCCTCGACATTGTTCGGAGTTTACACGTCATAATGAATTAGTTAGCATGAACTGTACTTGTGGAACCTTTTTTAGGGTAGGGTGTGCTTGGCAATGAATCCTATAGAACTCTCTAGTTCTTCTGGACGTGAAGAGAGATGATCACAGGGGCGGAGACAGGGGCAGGCACCCCCTATGAATGTGAAATCTTCACTGGATTTTTTTTTTTGAAATTCAAATAAATTTTAAAAAATTTAACACTGTTGGCGCGCCTCTAACATTAAAAAAATTTAACTTCCTAGCTTCGCTCCTCGCTCATCATCACTTAGAAGTACATCGATCCCTTCTCTCAGAGCCTAAGCCAAAGCTAGCTGCAAAGAACTTGTTGCGTGCACACAACCCATACCATACATACCATACCGATGCAGGCAACCGTGACCATGCATGCACAGTACAGTTGCTGCAGCTAGCACGTACCAACCTGGCTTTATTATTTCCTAATTTGACAACGTACCAGCCGTATTATTGCATTCGCTATCGTGTACTCCCTCCGTCCCGTTAAGATTGTCGCTCGGGAAGCGGGATTGTGAGGGGGGCACGGTTTTCCAACGACAAACTCAATGGGACGGAGGGAGTAATTAGCAGCTAGCGGGTCAAAGCAGGTAAGGATATACTCCTTTCGTCCCAATATTAACGTCGTTCTAGGATGGGTAGCGGATACCTGTTAGAAATGATAGGCGATATAAACAATAAAGAATAGTAGATCAAACATAGAAGACATAAGATTTTAACGTGGAAAATCCTCCCAAAAAGAAGAAAAAAACCACGGGCACCAATCAGCAAATTTCACTATATCAAGTGAGGTTACAAACGTCGGGGATTTATAATTTTTCTTATCCTAAGACGACGGCTTACAGGAAGTATATATAGAGATGGAAAAACCCTAGTAGTGAAATATGATGGGCTAACTTCAGACTCCGCTTCGCTTTGGCCCAAGCCTCCTGGCGACGAACCTCGCTTCGCTCCATCAGAAGTTAGCCTTTATTTTATACATGACTGAATTTAAATCACAACTAAACAATACCAAGAATGAAGTACAATGACCCTGTGTACCCCTACAAGCCTTGCAATAGACGTGCTGCTCAGATGTCCCGTCGTTGATCAGTGAGGAACGCATACAGGAACAACAATTGACGGCGTGTTTAGTTTCCATCTAAAATTTTAAGAAAGTGCTATAGTACTCATCATATCGAATCTTATGATACGTACATAGAGCATTAAATGTAGACGAAAAAAACTAATTACACAGTTTGGTTGGAAATTACGAGACGAACGTTTTGAGCCTAATTAGTCAATAATTGAACACTAATTGCTAAATAAAAACGAAAGTGCTACTAAAACCCAAATTTCTAAATTCAGGAACTAAACACGCGCTGATTACCAGCGGATACATCCACGTTTTCACCACGGCAAATTGCTCAGATGTCTTGTCAATGGTAGAGTGAAAGCCTAGTACAGTTGCTTTATTACTAGGGTGCAGGACATGTACGCTATCTCAAACGACATTCTTTCTTGGGACAACGTTGAACGCTAAAACGACATTAATAATGGGACTGAGGGACTACTCCCTTCCTCATGGATTAAAAGGAATCCAGAGTTCAAAATTTATATCAAATTATAAGGAATTTTAGGTGAACAAACACTCTAAAAGGCAACATTCGCATGTACCACCTACCATTAATGTCTATCACGGACCTAAATATGGTAATCAGCAAGAGTTATATGCGTTATTTATATTACCACATAATATGTCTTAAAATTACTCGAATACCTTATATTTTAGGACGGAATAAGTATAGTACTAGTATAACATGATTGGGGCAAACACAACAAAAGAAAGGTCCATCTTTCATGCTTATATTCACCGCTACAAAATTGATTTAAGGAGACATGCTAAAATATACGTGTCTCTTAAAATATGTGACGATTTTCAGAGGCGATCATTATATTTAAAGAGAGCCAAAAATTGACCGTCTCTAAAAATCCATTAACAGAGACCGCCATTTAAAAGGCCCGCCTCTAAAAATAGGTTATTTTCAGAGGTCGGCCTCTTAAGAGGGCCACCTCCATTAATGGCGCCAAGCCCAATAGCCCAAGTGCCCAACACGGTCGGGTAAGAAAAACCTAGAATATAAATTCCTCGTTGTCTTAAAAAAAGAGCATAACTCCCCACCCGACTCTCTCTCTCTCTCTCTCTCTCTAGCTCTCTGGCGGCGCCCCCGCGCCCCCCTGACGGCTGATCCTACTCGACTACCCATCGGCGCACTCGGACCCCCGACGATGATGGCTGCTCGGCCCTGGCAAGATTTGGTGTAGCACTAGTCCGGTGAGATCCCGTTGTCTCATCCTCACATATCTTTTTCATCCTCTGAGACATGTGTCTCATCCTCTTAGATCTGTGTCTCATCCTCTCAGATCTGGTGACGCAGGACAATGACGGCGGCCTGCATGGGAGCAGGTCGGCACCGGTGGCTGGCACGGGGCTAGGGTCGACGACGGTGGCGTGCCTAGGAGCTGAGCAACGATGACGGGCTACGAGCGGGCTCGCCGGTGGGCTTGAATATGGGCTCACTGGAGGATCTTTTAAAAAATTTGAAATTATTTTCACAAACGGACATTTCGGCCGCCTCTGTTAATCTTGATTAATAGAGGTGTCATGGCTAAGGCGGATGTGATGTCCATCTGAAAAAAAAATCGTTTGTGGCCACTTGTATAAGCTATTCCTGTGCTAGTGATTACTCCTAAACGAAGATTTATCCACAACACAATACAATCAAGTAAAATGTCACTATTATCGTATCGTTGTTTTAGGATAATAATTAACCATAAGTGTAAAAACCTTGTTAAGTTAGGGACTCCAACCTGAACAAGCAAGTTTTACCGTAAGGGAAATCTATAGTTATAGTTCAACTCTCCTCGGTAAAAAAAAATGTTGGCGTGTTGCTAACTTCTGCAAGGCAAACCCAATCGCTAATCTGATCGTGGAAGTAGTACTCTCTACAATCTGTTTTCCTGGAGAGTTCTTTTTATCAGTTTTTTTTTAAAAAATAATTTGGACGCGCTGCACAAACAGCGTAAACTTTAGGTGCTGTTTCCTATCAGGAAAGAAGTCTGCAACGCTTGGAAATGCAACAACAAATAAAAGAAGATCATCTAAAGGCTGAGCGGCGAGGCTGGGCCCATGCCCCTGACGGCCTGATCCGTCAAACAAAGCCCAACTTTGAGGCCCATCAGAAGCTGACCCAGCTCCAAAAGGATATAGGAAGAGAGGAAAAAGCTTTGACCAGAAGCATTGGTCTGGAGCTGGGCATATGGTCGCCGAGGTCGGGACGGGAACAGCAGATCCACATTAATTTCATCCCTAAGCAAATTAACTAGAGTTGTTATAAGTTGATCTTTTATAAACTTGATTAATGACTTTATAAGAATTTTAATATCAATATCTATAACACAATATATTTCATGCATGGTACTAATTCTATGTCCTAATTAAAATTTGATGTTATTTTATATCGATTCAGTGAAACTTACAAATTTTATAACTTAGTAATACAGCTCTATGAGTTAATTTATTTGGGACAGAGCCGCAGAGAGGTAGTTTAGTTGTCGTTGTACACGTGGGAAAAATAAAATAAAATGCCACGCACGTACTATATATTATTATTGCATCAGACAAACGGCTCGGCTAGCTGTTTTCATTTCACCGGACAGTACACTAGCTGGTACTAGCTAGCACGGTAGTATTATATTATTAGTACACGATGATGGATCGACAACAACTCAAGAAGAGACGACGACGGCGATGCGCGATTGTCTTATTTACCGTTAACGGCCGTCACGATTATATTGGCGGCGCCGGCGTGATCGCCATGCTTGGACTGCATTTACTCTGTCCTTAAAATTGCACACGTCAATTGAGTAGGTTGGTAGTTGCTCGCTGGAGGATGGCGATGACACACACAAAGACGATGATGCCATTGATGCCAAACAATTCCAAACACAGCGTCGGTCCTTCTTGTGGAGTCGCCTCGTCGGTCGGCCCACCTCGACCTCTCCAACAGTCAGCGATATTATTTTACAAAGCTCAGACATCTCCAATAATAACTTTTTTTTTCTTAAACGGCAAAGACTGTCGAGGACATCCCCACGGTGGGTAAAATTTTATATTAAAAGGGAAAAAGGTACTTACACAACGTTACTAACTGAAAGCATCTAGCCAAACGAACAAGGATGACCCAAGGTAACCGGTTGAAGAAGAAGACACTGATTTTTGAAGTTAGACAGCCAAATGGCACGACTAGGATTTCTTATCTGAAAAACTTTGCCATCACGCACCTTCCAAATTTCCCAAGCAGCTATCAGTACTGCCTCTGTGAAGAAGCTGAGTTTCTGAAGCTGTCTTGCTCGGCATTCCTATCTGGAATGTAAGGGAAACATCCCAAATGATGTAGATATAGTTGCCCAACGTGCTGTGGCGAAGGGGCAATCGAAGAAGAGGAGTTCAATAATTTCTTCTTCTCCACTGTTGCACATTACAGGTCCATTTCGTCCGGCTTTTGGGAGCAGTTTTTGCTTCCAAAAATCAAATGCCAACCAAAGGGCCCACAACAGCCCAACAGCTTTGGGAGAAAGCAGCTTTCGACGCAGTGAAGTTTGGGAATACCGGTTCGTCCATCCGATCCCCATCGACAAAAGAAAGAAAAACAGAGGCGCGGCGCCCCACCGTCCCCAACTCGCACCGCGACCCGCTCTTCCCACCTTCGCGACCGCCAGAGCCGCGGTTTCCAGGGCAGTTGCCGACCGCCCCCCTCACCCCTGGACCGGTCTGTCGATCCTCGGCCACCAGAGCTCCGCCCACGCCTACCTTCCCCTGCCGCGCGTCCGGCTGTGTTCCGAGCCGCCGGCTAGGGTTGTAGGGGGCGGCGCCCAGGAAGGCCGTGCCGATGGCCGGGAAGGCCTCGACGGCGGGAACCGGAGGCACACGCGGCTCCCCTCCTCCCTTCCTGGCCGTGGCTGGAGCCCCTTGACCCGCGGCTCCCTCTCGTCTCCTCTCTAGGCGCAGCAGAGCATGACTGCAGGGCTCAGGTTGCGGGTGCGCCCGCCCTTCCTCGTCGGTGGCGACGCAACCGGTACCCGTGCCTGTCTTATCAGCGGCCGCCTCCTCTCCTCCCATCTCGCTGCCCCCGCTCGCCCGTCCTGCTCGCGTTCTCGCCCGGCGGTGGCCGGATCTGAGCGAGAAAGCAGTCCCCAGTGGACGAGCAGCTCGGTGGCGACGCTTCCTCACCGACGTCCATGGCTCCGGTGTGTGCTCGGCGGCGGTGGAAGAGCAGCTCGATAGACGAGCATCCCGGCGGTGGCGGCTCCGAGCAGTTCGACGGACAAACAGATCCCTGTGGCTCCCTTTCCCCGATCTAAAGACAACCGAGACTTGTACATGTGAATTGAATAAAGGACAAGGGGCTAAATGTAAAGCCATAAGAAACAATGAAATAGTAGTAAAGTTATTTCTTAATTTGTAAAAAGAAAATGGACTGAACTATAAAAGTGACTAAAAGTCGCAACAGCTTCTCAGTAGCAGTTTTGCCAAATAGCTTACAAACAACTTTTTCATAGCCTACAAACCACAATAGCTTTTGTCCATAGCCACAGCTCAACCAAACGGACCCTACACAAAGAGTGTTGTCTTGAATACCCAAGTGCCTTCTCCTGAGCATTGATCTTGTGTTGAGTCGGTCCACCAAGACTAGCCAAAAAAAACAACTCCGTGGAGCTACCTCTAAATATATTATTTTACATTTTAATAGAAAAAATAAAAATATTATCTCTTAATCAAAAGCTAGTCTCATGTACACACTCTAAAATCAGGTGAGATTGTAACATGAGACTGTTCATATTATGAGGCAGTATGTGTTAAAAGTTAATACTATTAGAGATATTGTTTTTATATATAGTAACTATCCCATACTGTTGAGGATGCTCTCATACATATCACCTTGTATTTTGCTTATGTCAAACAGAGAGATGAGATGAAAGAAAAGAGCACTCTCTTATTTTTCCAGATAGGCTCGACCTAACAAGCTAGGATCGTCCGTCAAGGTCTCAAGGATGTGTTGTCCTGCTCGTGGCATGGTGATGTCTAACCCTGGGCAAAAATAACCGAGAACCGAAAACCGAACCGAAATAACCGGAACCGAAATCGAATTAACCAAAACCCAAAAATTTCGGTTCCTAGTTCGGTTCCCAGTTCTCAGGAACCAAAATAATGTCGGGTAATTTGGTTCCAGACCTCGGTTAACCGAACAAAAGGCTCCCCTCAGTTTGTCCCCAGGCCCAAACAGGCCCAGGCGAGGCCCGATAACGTATTTAAGTATAAATACAGAACCTTTAGGTTTCTTGGCTCCTCCCTCACTCTCTCTCACCGCACGCCTCCCTCTCCCACCGAGCCGCCTCTCCCTTCCCGAGACCGAGACCAAGCGCGCCTCTCTCCGCTTCGTCCTCCCTCTCCCTCTCCACTCTGGCCTCCCTCTCCTTCTCCCTCTCTTTCTCTCCCTCTCCCTTTCTAGAGCCTGGGGCGCATCCCCTTCTGGCAGCTGCGCGACACGGGGCGCGCCCCTCCTCCGGCGATAGCGCGACGCGGTGGGCACGTCACCTCCTCCAGCAACGGCACGCGCGTGGGGTGCGCGGCCCCTCCTTCAACGGCGGAGGCACGGCGGGCGGCCCCACCCACACCCCGAAGCGCCTCCACCACCGTCCCATGGCTGGATCTAGTGGAGGGCGACTAGATCTATGGTGGGCCCGCCCCCGACGGTGGATCTAGGCCCAACACGCTTCCCGACAACGGATCCACTGCCTCCCCCGTCGCTGTCTGCTCTGGAGGTTGAGGCCGAGTCCGGTGCATGCCCGCTGCCCTGGAGGCTGGATCTGGACGAAGGGGCGACTGCCGCCGTTTTTTTTTCATTGTTCCCCTTTTCTTCCCTTCTGTTTCGCTCATGTAATGTATGGCTCGGTTAGTTCGGTTCTAACCGAAACCGAACCGAACTAACAGAGACTGAATTTCCTCGGTTCCAAGTTTCCTAGCTAACCGATCGGTTCGGTTTTATGCTAACCAAATTTTATAAAGAACCGAGGAACCGAACCGATCGGTTCCGGTTAACCGAATGCCCAGGGCGAGTGATGTCCGTGACTTTTCTATTCCCAAAATACTGCCCTTTCCATGTTTATTTTATTTTGTTTTTCTTTTCTAACAAAGGAAATATGCTTTTCGTATATAAAGATAAAGATAAATAATAAATACAATATTATGTTTGAAACTTTGAGCCTTAATAAATAAATATTTCTATTACTAAGTTGTTAGTTTTAATTAGAAATAAATTGTTACTGTAACATGAATCAGCCAATAGCCTAAATAATCAAAACGGAAACTTAAATCTTAAGCAGATTGTCATCCAATCTAATCAAAACTCCAAACTATTTGCATCCCAGTGCAAATATGTAAGTTGTCCGCATATATCAATGCAACTCTTAACAAGTGTTGATACGTGGAAACCGAGACACGACGACGATTAACCCCTTTTCGACTTTAACAAGATATTAAAATTACATATTTTCATGTATCCTCAAAAGAAGTCATTGAACTTTGATATCTAACTCTATCAAGACAAGGATAGTATGAAAACTAAAGTTATGATACATTTGCGAGCAAATATTTTTATGACTTACAATAAAAGAAAAAAATCTATCAAGGTTGTGTTTTAATTCAATATTGAATCAATAGAACATTGTCATATTATTATCAATATTAAGTTATATTATGAATATGATGGTCATCAGAGAATAAAATGTAGTTTCTAAATTTTATAGAAATATAATAAAAATAAATATCTAACATTGTCATCCTTGTTCCATCGACTGGCCTGCAGCAACCACTCACAGTATAAAAAGTATCACTTATACAAATTAAGATGTCGTGGCCGCCACAACTGTGCAGCAAGCTAAAGCGAACAAGTCAAACCTTTGACAACTTTTTTCTCCCATTAGATGTCATGGTCGCCACAACTGTGCAGCAAGCTAAAGCGAAGTCGAACCGACAACTTTTTTCTCCAATTACACCGCATGGACATATTTGCTTAATACTGTAAAAAACCAAAAACGCAAAGGAGCCAGCCAAGTCTAACAACGTCTCGATCTCTTTGGTAATGGGTGCTTAAGATAAAAGCAGAGCACGGCACACAATGCAAGGTGATTCGGCAATGGAGACAGCTAGCTAGCTCTTCTTGTCGTCTCAGTCTCTCTCTCTGCTGAAAACGGCCTCGCTCGCTCACTTCTTGTCGTCCTTCTTACCCGCCGCCGCCTCCGGTTTCCTCGCCTCGGGTTTCTTCTCGGGCTTCTTCTCCTCCTTGGCGGACCCACCGAGACGATGTCAACCTTGCTGAGCTTCTTCAGCTTCTTGGCGATGGCCACCGCCGTGTCCATGTCGCCGATCACCGTCATCTTGTTCTCCTTCACGTCCGCCGCGATCGAGTCGATGCCTGATGAACCAACCAACCAACCAACAAGACGTACGAGTACGACGGACTCCGTCAATCAATTATAAGCTCTCAATTTTAATTCGAAGCTAAGTTAGAAGTCTCTATAGTGGGATGCCAACACCAAAGTAAATTACTTCATGGAGAAGTTGATGCTTCAAAGTTACTTTTGCAGAATTAATACTCTTCTAAACCATAATTACCGAGTTCAACACCACACGCAAGCAACTTCAACTTTCTGTCAAAGATGTCACCTAAAACCTCAAAGACATCGGCGGAACCAGAGAAAAAACTAACTCGGGACCAAGATGAAGGTAAGATTTGGTCCAAGAACTTATTTCCTTTGAAATACCTACTACTACAATGGCTGAAGCAGGGTTATTTAAGAAAATTTCAGACCTAGCCCCCTGGTTCCGCCAGTGCTCAAAGACACTACTACACGCACTACAACCAAGTGCGAGCGCCACCCATAAGACCAGTCTCAGTGGGGGTTCATGTCCCAGTTTTAACACATCCATCTTTTAGAAATAGTGCAGAAGAGTTTCACGAAACTCTCTTTGCTCTCATGAAACTCTTATAATCTCTCTCTTCATAAATACGGAGTAGGTGCGCTACGTTCGCGCTCTCCTCGACAGCTCACTGGAGGATGGTGCGTTACCTTCGCCATGGGCCCGTGCCTGTGATTGACTTCTTTCGATTTGATCCCTAAAAATTTTCTAGCTTCTTTTCTTTTTATATCGTCAATCTTCCGTGTAGCACCTATTTTTGTATTTGCATATACTCCCTCCATCCTAATAAATAAGGCGTAATCACTTTTTATTCATGTTCCATAATATAAGGCGTACTCTCTCTCTCTAGACTCACATATATCGATGCAATAGTACTAGTGTTGGAGGAGAAAATTAAATATGTTCCTTAGTCTTTAAACCAGAGGTGATTACATCTTATATACTGGGATAGAGGGAGTATATGAACCCAACTAACCAAGGACACAAGGGACCATTCCAACCAAAGCTCTAACTTTTAATCCGGAGCTAAGTTACAAGTATCTATGGTAGGATGCCAACTCCAAATAAAATTACTTCATGGAGAAGTTGATGCTTCAAAGTTACTTTTGCAAAACTAATACACTTCTAAACCATAATTACCGAGTTCAACACCACGCACAAGCAACTTCAACTTTCTGTCAAAGACGTAAACCTCAAAGACACTACTCCACGCACAACCAACTGCGAGCGCCACCCATATAATTTTTTTTTAAAAAAAAACCTGCTGCGGGTCATCAATGCCGAGCTATATCCCACACTAACATACTAGGCTCCATGCATTTAAGCCCAAGACGTGATTATTGATTTGTTTCTACAAATATTCCTTCTAGTTGCATTTATAACTTACGACACAAAAATGATTACAAAGCTGGTCTAACAAACACAGGGATTTTTATTATGTTCACGTGTAACTCAAACCTACACAAAATAAACCCGAAAGTCAAGCCTCAAGCCGCAAGTCCGCAACACATATATGGCTCATGCTTGCTACTCCTTCTATTCTAAATTTTAAGCCATTTTGGATTATCTAGATACATAGTTTTTATTATATATTTAGATATAAGATATGTCTAGGTGTATAGTAAAATATATATACCTAGAAGTACCAGTTCAACTTACAATTTAGAACTGAGAGAATAGTATTTTGAAGAATATGTTTTTATACTTAATCTTTCTATCTCACAAAGAGCGAAAAGTTTCTCTCACTCCCCCACCAGTTCATCACTCACTCTTCTTTTGCCCCACTCCGCCACTTGTCATCCATCTCTCGCTCACTCTCTCCCTAGTCTATTTTATTCCGTCCCTCATTCTTTCCTGTCCGCCCGTCACTAGCTCGCTCCTTTTTCATCCCTTCGTCCATCACCTCCTCTCAATTTCTTTCTTCCGTCTCTCACTCTCTCCCATGTCCATCCATCACTCGCTCCTCTTTTGTCCCTTAGTCCCTCACTCTCACCCTTGCTATGAGTTTGGAGCTAAAAAACCATTGTTGGCGTCGCATCACTCATGTCACGGCATGTTTCTCGCTTCATCGTTCCCGATTCTCTCACCCTTTTGTTTTGAGTTCGGAGCTACAAAACCTTCGTTGGCACCACACCACTCACGTCATGGTCTGGCCATCGAACCTGTTAGCGTCACAACACGTGTGTGGACAATAGGTGCACACAATAGCCACTTATTTAAGTTTCGTTAGTTTCTTGTCAATTTTTTCATATGTGATTAGTATTTTATTGCACTGGTATTAATTACGGGCCTTGGAATCTATTTGATTTAAGGTCAGACCAAACCCGACAAAAATAGCTACTTTATTTTTATTGGCATGAGCATCATATAATAATGTATACCTCCCATTGCAATGCAACGTATGGACATGGGTAGACCAGGTGTACATCATCGGCGGCGACGGCACGTAGAAGGGCACGTCGTCCATCCACGAGGAGGTGAGCGCCGAGAACGGCATCAGGGTCGTCAAGCTCATGGGCCGGAACAGCGGCGTCGACTGCTGCCTCATCCCGGAGTCGCCCTTCTACCTCGAGGGCAAGGAGGGTGGCCTCTTCTCGAGTTCGTGGAGAAGCGCCTCGGCGACAACAGCCACATGGTCATCGTCGTGGCCGAGGGCGCTGGGCAGGACCTCATCGCCAAGAGAACGTGCTTTGCCGACAAGGTGCTCCACGACGTGGGGCTCTGGCTCTCCTCTGCTGGCGCACAGCGCGGTATTATCTCCTACCCTCTCCCATCAGATTTGTTCCACTTTCAATCTTATCCTGGATCCCTAAATCTTTTCTTTACCAAGTGGTCTTTGTTAATTTCGTTCATAATTTCTTTGATCTATGAAGTTTATTTTTATCTCCTAAAGTATAGGGGCTACGATGATGCGTTGGTATATTATTCTTAGGTAAGGACAGATCCATATTGAAGGAAATAAAAAATATGAACGACAGATCCATATGATCGAGCGAATGATGCTGGAAGCACAGGATGGTGTCAAACCACAACAACTTCCTTCTGAGGTCAGCTTTTAAGCTTATTTGTCCGCATCCAAACAAATATTGTCGCCAAGAGCCATGTTCGCTTATGCTGAAATTTGGCTTACGTTGATGCTTATGTTAAAATGTTGTGAAAGGAAAATACCGTTCTATGGCTGAAAAGTAGTGTTGAATAAGCTCAAGTGAACTCTGCAAACCAATAATGTTTGTGCTTGGATAAAAATATTTTGAATCGCTATTTTTTTAACCGTGTGCAGATCCTAGATAAGGGTATATGGTTACGATCTGATCCATTTTAAGACAAACAATATGATCGACAAGCAAAGGGAAACAAATATTGTTACCTTAGGATTAATTTTGCGAGATTCAGGATCATGACTGCATGGTGCCCAATAATAACGTTGTGTTTGGATAAAAATATTTTGAATCGCTATTTTTTAAATCATGTAAAGATCAGATAAGGGTATGGTTACAGTCTGATCCATTTTAAAAACAATATGATCCACATTTTCCTCTTCAACGAGACAATTGTATGGTGGATCAAAATTCTGCTTCGATCTTATCAAATTTCAATGTCCCTTGGCAAAGTGTTTTGCACTTTATGTCTTAGCTGTTAGTCAGGAAAAGAATCATAGTATTTCAACATCCTGATTAGCAGTTTCCTAATACTGAGGACCATTTTAATCTGATGATATTATAACAGATCAAGGTGTGCATGACCAATTGCAGTTCCAATGGCGACACAAAGTTCGAGCCTCCAGGATTGACCAAGGTTGAGTAGCCCCATCTGCTGCAGGGGTGAATAGAGTTCCTTAGCCTCTCTGTTTTGGTCAACCATTGAGGTCTGACAGCAGCTATTTCACAAGCTTGATGTAAGGCTATTGGTGCCTGTATTGCAATCCTATGGAGGCACAAATCATGGGCCACTAGATAATACTAGCTTAACTCATACTAAAAGCCATTTTTTTTTTAGCTAGAATGTTGTGAAATTGTAAATTGTTTGAATAAACACAAAAGCAATTGTAAATTGGTAATCCTTTTTCTTTCTTGAAGCCGTGCTGCATTTTCTGTATTAGATTTGTCACTGGAAATTACAGTGGTACCATGCAAATCAAACTTTCACTATATAGTATTTCCTCTATAGATATGAGACCCTGTACCAGAAACTTTCACTTTTCACCGTATAATAAAAAGCTTAGAAGTAAATGGATCAATGATCTGGTAACCGCTAAAGGTGCGAAAAGAACAAAATTACATAAGATTACTGTTGTTTGTTTCTTAAACTCCAGCAACATCACCTCTCACTTTTTAGATAAATTACTCTATTTTGTTTGGACTACAACACTGAGGCCGCAAAATAGTGGTCCAAATTATCATGTTGATGTGCAGGAGGTTCTGATATTCTAGCTAGCCCAATTCATAGACTTTGCATGCAGTCCAATTTTTTAATATAGATTTAGTACATAAGATATTCTTTGTTTGTCTGTATAGATTTTTCTTGTTCACTCTTTATAAACTTATGGTACTGATTAGTGGTGTATTTTCTGTAGTGTATTTTCCGTAGGACAGACTGTTTTTAGATACATTTTTTTTTGGGTGGACCATTTGGTGGACCACGTCAATCTCAAAGGTAAATCATCTAGATCTGAGGAATGTACAAATTTGTAGGCATTGCTGCACTTTCAGGCTGTTGTGACTTGTTAGTTAGGGTAGTATCTCTATATAGTTTCAGTAAAATAAAAGCAAATGCGTTGCATTGGTCAGGCCGTGCTAATCTATCGCCCTGTTCGTTTGAGCTTGTTTGGCTGATAAGCCATGACTGAAATTACTGTTGGCTGATTTGGTATGAGAGAAAAATACTGTTCGTTGGCTGCCATGGCTTATAAGCCAAATACGACCAAGCGAACAGGCTGAAAAACTTAAAAGTTGTGTATGACTCCTCACACCTTTTCAGGTTACTATTCCATAGAAAATCTAGACCATAAGTCCATAACATATCTCTTTCATTTGTATAGCAGCACTTGGATTGGATAAGTTTCTTCTTCGCGTACTATCTTTAATACATATTCTCTCATCCAGGACCAAGTAGTTTGGCATCCAAGTTGGTAAGCACACCAGTAACCAATGTTGATGTTGAAAAAAGGTCTATTCAGCAATCGATCTCTCTCTTCACTTTGATTTTTGTTACAAGGTGAATAATCTGTTCACTAATGGTTTTCACATGAGAGTAGCAGGATGGTTTGCCGCGATGTGGTGAACAACTTCCCCAGCTTGCGTCCGCTCTCAGGCCATGTTTGGAACGGAGGATTTCTAAAGGAATTGTGGAGGATTGGCATTCCTATGGAAAGGAATACTGTAGATGCATTTGGAACGTAGGAACACAGCTCTCCATTCCATAGGAAAGGAAGGCATCTGTCCACAAAAAGTAGGAATAAAAGAATCTAGCTCAAGTTGAAGTTTTGGCGGAAGCCCGAGGCAAAGCCGAGAGAGCAAGAGAAGAGAAACAAAAAAATAATGTTACTTCCTGCGTTTTTCCTGTGTTATAGATTCCTGCGTTCCAAACACCCCTTCTAGTTATTTCCCGCGTTTTTTCTTTCCTCTGTTTTACCACTACACACTTACCCCATTCCTACGTTTTTTCCTATCCCCGTGTTTTTGATTCCTGCGTTCCAAACAGGCAATCAGGAATCTAGAGCGAACATTGTTGGAAGACCAAGACGTTGCATAATAAAATCATGACTTCGACAATTATGCTTATTGTATATATATTTTCTGTGCCATCATGGACCATATATGTTGACTAATAATATTTTATATGATACACGATTGACTTCTTTGTTCGAAAAAATGAATTGAATTCTCAAAGGTTTTATTGTTATTGCTTGATTTTTGCATAATTGTTTTTTTTGACACATGCGTGTCGCACATGCATGCGATTTCCTTTCTGAATTTTCTAGCACGCGAGTTCCTTTCTGAATTTTCTAGGTGATAACATGTGTGGGCAACTCAGCATAAACCATAAAGAAAAATGAGTCTGTTACTTGGAATTTCACCAAATATAATCTTTCATTCAACCTCATATTTATATTTTTTTATCTCTTTCATGGTTTTAAAATCCACGCCCAAATTTTATTGCTCGACCTCTTTAACCTTTCTCTCTAATTCCAGTAAGCTTTGCAAGTTCAAGTGGGATTGGGTTAGGGTTTGGAGAATAGATTTCTTTAATGAGGTTAGTGTGAGGGTTTTGAAAACATTTCTTTGTCAAGGTCACTATGTACTTGTGTTACAAAGCATAGAGAAATGGTTGTCCTACTCTCAATGAGTTCTCTAACTCGGCACTATATTATATCATACCTAAATAATTATTGTTAGTTTTGGAATGAAAAAAAGTATTTTGGTTGTAAACACTGTCACCATGAGCATAACAAATTTTTAATTGCTATAGGAATTGACTTCAAAATATATCTTTGCTATTTTGTTACTCCTCTATAAGAAACTTTTATTAGGATTTGACTTCAAAATATATCTTTGCTATTATGTTACTCCTATGTAAGAAACTTTTATTAGACATGTGTGTGTATAAAATGCTTGGTCTGTGGTGTCGTAGGAGCAACTTTCATCACACGTTTAGATATGGGTATGTCTTACATAGACATGGCCACTAGTTCTGTATAAAAAAGTGTGCTTTAGTCATTTCTAAAAAAAGTTATAGATATTAAAGAAAAATGTGCTTCAATTTCAGCACGTCATGTTTCATCGAACTCGGCCCAGACTGCATGCAGCCATGGAGGGTTATGGACGGAATGCAAATCGAGCCCAAACCCCAAACCTAATCGAGCTTCGAGCGGCAGCCGTCGCCGTCAATTCCAAGCGCTACTCGCAGCCTACGCCGCCTCGCCGATGGCCGCCGGCGGCCACCTCCGTCCGGGCTCCTACCTGGGAGACGTCTCCGCGCTCTCCTTCCTCCCCTCCTCGCCGCACCCTCTCCTCCTCGCTGGTACGCTCCCGTCTCCTTCCTGCGCTCCTCGCCGCACGCCCTCCCGCGCCGCTGTGGAATGCGTGTGTCGTCTCTGCTTGCCTCAGCTGGCGGGTGATAATATCCACGCCCTTCGCCCTGTGGCCGCAGGCACCGGATCGCAGCTGCTCTTGTACGAGGTGGGCGCCGCCAGGCTTGTCGCTTCGTTCCGAGTGTTCGACGGGGTGCGCGTCCACGGCATCGAGCCCCGGAGCGGAGGCCCCGACGGCTACACGCTCGCGGTGTTCGGCGAGAGGAGGGTGAAGCTATTCTCCCTCGGATTCGGTGTTGAAGCAGATGGCGGCGAGGTGGGCGAGGTGCGGCTGGAGCTGGAGCAGAGGCTCCCGGGGTTCGACCATTGGGTGCTCGACGCTCGTTTCCTGGAGGTACCACGCTTGGTTCGCACTCTTATTGTGGAGTCTGGAGTGGAGCTTTTCGTTTTTACCAACCTTGCTACGACTCCGGTGCAGGTCGATGGGCTGCTTGCTATTGGTCTGAGTGATAATTCAGTAACGCTGTGGGATCTGAGCAAGTGTGTGTTGGTTACCCGAGTGAAGTCTCCAGGTTTGATGACCATGCATCTCCGTGCTAACTTTGGTCCAATTGACATGACCTGTGCTAAATTCCCCGTCCATGTTTGCTTACAAAATTGCCTTCTGGGTGCAGAGAAGTGCCTTCTGTATTCCATGAGAATGTGGGGAGACTCTGTTAGAGAGCTTCTTGTGGCATCCGGGACCATTTTAAACGAGGTAAACTTTCCAGGCTCTCAAGCTGTTTCTGTTTCAGTTCCAGTTTAACCGTTTGAGGAGAGTCTTTCTAAATGTCTGTATGAGGAAGTTCACATCCATCAGAAATATAGCTCTCAACTTTAGTCTTATTTTCCAGATTCTCATATGGAAATTGGCACCACAAGTTCTGGGATCCTCCATGGTATGCTCAAATGAAGGAGATACTTCTGATGTAAACTGTCCCAAAATTATAAATCCTGATGATAATCAGCGCATGGCAGTTCATCTTGGTAGGCTGAAGGAGCATGAAGGCTCAATATTCCGAATAGCTTGGTCCTCTGATGGATCAAAGTTTATGTCTGTTTCTGATGACCGTAGGTTGGTTTATTTTGATTTGGGCTCTCACTACCTGCACAAGTAACTTTTTTAGACTGCTTTTCATGATATTGTTGACCTATTTAGTTTCACTGATGTGGCAGTGCTCGCGTGTGGATGCTGAGTTTCAAATCACAGGGTTTTGTCAATCAGACAGCCAGTCAAGACAATGTTAAAATTATACCAAAACTCACTCTTTTTGGGCATAGTGCTAGGATATGGGACTGCTATGTTTCTGATTCTGTAAGTTTGTGATACTTTGTTCCCTCTCCCTTTGTATGTGCATCATTTGGCTATACTTTATTTTTTACTTGTATTTCTAGTTTGGAAAGATGTCACCAAACCTGTTTTCCCTGAATAAATAGAATTTTTGTAAAATTTCCAGTTCATCATTTAAAAAAAAAGTTTTAGACTTCTTACTGTTTGCAACTGTGCTTTGCTTTTAGATGGTTATAACTGCTGGTGAGGATTGTACTTGTTGCATTTGGGGAATGGATGGAAAGCTAATCAAGATGTTCAAAGAACACACGTAAGTTGGAAAGATGTAGTTAGATCGTAACTTTTTAGTAAGCTGGTGTTTAACTATCTGGAATCTAAAGCGAAAATAATTCATTGCGCTACTCTAATCTACAGTGGGCGAGGAATATGGCGATGTTTATTTGACCCAAGCTCACTGATCGTGGTGACAGCTGGGTTTGATTCAGCAATCAAAGTGCACCATCTATGCAACTCCATTTTTCATGACATAGTGGAAGATAAAAGGGTCTCTGATGGTCTGAACTATGATTCTGAGATCTTTGTTGTATCCTCTCCTTCTGTTTCGGGGCAGTATGGTCCCCTGGATAGGTGTGATGTACTTCTTTACGGTTTCACAAATTACATGGTACCTCTATCTCTCATCTTGTGACAGTGAAATTGTTTATTCATTGGTTCGTCACAGCAAAAGCGAGTATGTTCGTTGTCTACACTTTGCAGAAGAAAATATTCTGTATGTTGCCACAAATAATGGATATCTGCATCATGCTGAACTCTCTAACATAGAGGATGTAAGATGGACTGAGATTATTCAGGTCACTGAGAAAGCACCAATTATCTGCATGGATGTCATGACAACATACTCAAACCTTTCTTTGAATAGGGAGGACATAATTGCCCTTGGAGATGGACGGGGAAATGTTACTATTGTCCGTTTAACCAGTGGCAGCAGTGAACCTAAACTAGATCTATCTTTTACCTGGTCAGCAGAAAAAGATCAGCAACTACTAGGAGTATACTGGTGCAAGGCTCTTGAATGTAGGTCAGTGAATTGTTAAATTTCTTGTTAAGACATTTTTAAATAGGAGCTATTCATTATTCTCACCAGATTTATTTTTACTTGTAGCCACATTTTCACAGCTGATCCTAGGGGTGTGCTTAAGATGTGGAACATAAGAGATGCCCTGTTCTTAAGTACTGATATTATCAATGCACCTCAGATGTTTCCACTTGTAGCAGTGTTTGAATCCTCCTTTGGAGCTCGAATCATGTGTCTAGATGCATCTCCTGGAGAGGAGGTAATGATCTTAAAGCCTGTCGGATTTCAGTTGAAGACAAAATCACCAATTCTTATTGATAGAATCCTTTGTGTGAACATTATGCATTAGTAACTGGGACTATATTGATAATGTTTGTATATCTAGGATTAGGCAACAGAAGAATGAGGATAATAAGGAAGCTTTAGATTATAAGTTGTACTAGCTTGGAAGCTAGAAGAGGATGATACAGCCCCGTTGGGGAGAAATACATCATACCATTTAACTGCTAATTAGTTGAGCTTCTCATAAAGCTAACAATAAGATGTGAATATGTGAGACATATTTTTTTTCTCTTTTTTTTTTCTTGCGCAGATCCTTATAGCTGGTGATAAAAAGGGTAACATCACAGCCTTTCCTTTCCCTAAAACATCGGTACTGCATGCCAGTGGTCTGATGCAACAGAAGATGCTTCCATGTGATCGTTTTAAAGGAGCTCATGGCATTTCTAGTGTCACAAGTGTTCATATAAAAGACTCGATTTCTGATCGTATTGAAATTCACACTGTATGTCCAGAACGATATTGTTATTCATATTATCAAATTCATGGGTTTGGTCTGACATATGCTCCTCATCCTTGAAATTTTATAGACCGGGGGAGATGGTTGCATTTGCTTTTTCAAGTATGGAAGAAATGTGCAAAAGATTGAATTTTTTGGAATGAGGCAAGTAAAAGAACTGGGCACCATTCAATCCATCTACACTAATCTTGCATCTGAGAGCCAATTGAGTAGTACCTATGCAATAGGTTTCACCTCTGCAGATTTTATCATTTGGGACCTTGAGAATGAAACAAAGGTAACAGAACACATGTACCATATGAATTGGCCAGTCAGAATCAACGGTTCAGCTAATCAGTAGTTTCAAACTTTTATCTTCTATATAGATGGCTCAAGTATCCTGTGGAGGCTGGCGGCGCCCTTATTCTTATTATCTTGGGACAGTCCCCGAGTATCAGAACTGCTTTGCCTTTGTAAAGGTTTGTGTTCTAAATTTCTTTGTTTTGTGCATTTGTTTTCTCAGCTGATGTTCTAGTGAAAGTCAACACACCTCATGGGAATTATTTTCTTCCATTCTGAAGCCATTCGCAATCTTGCCATTGGTAGCTTATTTTGAGGGGCTTGTAATTTTGAATTTGTCACAGGAGAGTGGCAACTTTAGTTTCCATCTCTTTGCATATTGGGACATTCGCAATCTTGTCTCACTCAAATGCTATCGGGCAAGTGTGATGTGCAAGTGTAGACTATTTTGTTTCCTCTATCTATCATTTTCCCTATCTTTTATTGGTTAGTTATGTGCAAGTGTAGACTATTTTGTTTTGGTCGTTACCTAAGGCATAATTTTGTGTACCACCAAAAAAGAAGAGTAAGGCATAGTGGCATACTCCACCACATTGTTGAGTTTTGCTGTTGGTGACTTGACTATATCTTCTGTTACACATTTTTCATTACATAGTTAACTTTTTGTGTTTTTTTTCCCAACCAGGATCATGATATTCACATTCACAGGCACTGGGCACCAACTCATGATAAGAAATTACTCCCACAAGGTCTTCATTTGCAGTTTCATGGTAGAGAAGTGCACTCGTTGTGCTTCATAGATCCAGCAAGCCATTCGGATCCTGAGAATAACTCAGATCTGTTGATAGCAACCGGATGTGAAGATGGAACTGTGCGTCTTACAGGGTAAATTTGTTTCTTAAGTGTTAAGTTTATGTGAATCGCATGTTCCATTTTGATACTGAATTACTGATGTCCATTACAGTTTCTTGACTGGTAGTTCTGGAAAATGGCATTCCTCAAAGTTGCTAGGGGAGCATGTAGGTGGGTCAGCTGTGCGAGCAACATGCTTCATCCCAAAGACCTACACAGTAACATATAAATCATATAATTACAGTTTGAACGGTATTTCTGATGACATTGCTGTTGAAAAAGACGAGACTTTCTTACTCATATCTGTTGGATCAAAGCAAGTCCTCACTACTTGGATCTTGCAACCGAGGAATGCAGAAAACAGACAAGTATGTTCGAGTGGCTTAGATATTGATTCCAAGCAAAACTCCAAAAACTTGGAAAATGTTGATTCAGCCATGTCATTTCAATGGCTAACTACCCACATGCCACCAAAGCTTCCTAGGAACGGGCTGAAATCTGGCCACATAAAACAGAGCGTTGAGGAAGGAAATTCCTCTGCTGTACAGACAAATATGGACGTTATGGATCACAAGGAAAATGACTGGCGTTACCTTTCTGTTACAGCATTTCATTTGAAACATCCGGTTCTCAGGTAAGATCCAGTATTGTGATTCATGTGCTGCTGGCAGTACAGAGTCTAGCTAGCATAGCCTTTGCTTCATGCTCTTGCTTCCTGTAATCTTAATTTAATCTCTTCCGTTTGCAGCAGGTTGACAGTATGTTTTGTTGTTGTTGCTTGCTCGGATGCAACGGTTGTGCTTCGTGCTCTTCTGTTACCTTCTTGATTGTGGTATGCATTGTTCATTTCTGAACAGATTTTGTATTTGTAGTATTCTTGGCTGTCTCTGAGCTGCTTCCTTTTTGTACAGGTTTGATGTTGCCTTGTTGGTTCCACAGGCATCGCCAGTTTTGGTGCTGCGGCATATTATCATCAATGCTGGCCACTATAAAGGTCAGTTCTATCTTTATTTTCTTCTGACCTGACAATGATTTATGTTAATGAAATTAGTGCTCTGTTTTTCAGATGATGCTGGATACCTTATTTTATGTTAATGAAATTAGCGCTCTGTTTTTCAGATGATGGTGGAGACAGATACCTTATCGTGAGTGGATCAACAGATGGCAGCATTACTTTTTGGAACCTGACAGAGACCATTCATGGCTTCATGCAACTAATATCGGAGACTCAACCACACATGAATATTGATTATCAAAAGCGTCCCAGGACCGGAAGAGGGAGTCAAGGCGGCCGTCGCCGGTGGAGATCACTGGCATACGCTTTGAAGAAGAGAGATGGAGATATGTCACCCTCTGATGGGAGCAACCTGGGTAGCCTAAACACTGCTGAAAATTCATCTGAAGCTTCTGGTGTGGAAAACACTCAGACTATAGTGCGTGAAGCAAGTGACGGCTCAAACACTGAGATGCCTTCAAGTACCCAATCATGTGATGTACCTGAATTGAGACCAATGCACCTGTTATCCGGTGTTCACCAGTCAGGCGTTAATTGCCTCCACATACCATACTCAACACCTGACAAGTCATACTGCATCATAAGTGGCGGGGATGATCAAGCTGTTCAGTGCTTCAACTTCAGAGTAGTATCTTCAGAGGATTGCTTAACAACCACAACAAGACTAAATTCGCATGACAATGACACACTTAAAATTCTATATCAATATAAGGCATCATCAGCTCATAGTGCAGCAGTTAAAGGTTTGTCACAATTTAAACCAATGTAGTTCATATATTCCCATTCTTTCAGCCTGTTTTGTTGGAGTTATGCAAGCATATGCATGTTTTCCACTAGGAATCTGGACAGACGGCACTTGGGCTTTCTCTACTGGCCTTGATCAAAGAGTAAGATGCTGGAAGATGGGATTGACCAGCCAATTCACGGAATACTCCCATGTTATCATTAGCGTGCCCGAGCCTGAAACTCTAGACGTTTTCCATGACCGGTGAGCAAGTCTTTGTCAATTTGTGTGTTTACCTCTATCTTTTGATGTTTCTGAATTCTAATGGTGGCAGTGGTTGCCTTGTTAGGGCAAAGGGGAAGTACCACATTGCTGTTGCTGGAAGGGGTATGCAAATGGTCGAGTTCTCACCACCTGGAGATGATTAACGAAGATGACTGCAATCTTATGGATGTGGCTTTGACTGGGATTGCACGGATCATGTAGTTTTCTACTGAGAAGAATTATAGTTTAAAATTTTGTTGTCAAGGCTGGAACAAGCTGAGAAATCAACATGTGTTATTACAAGCTTCTGGTGCAATTTATTTTTGTGGGTGGGGTTTGTTGTGCACTTGTGCTAGTTCATGCTGGTTCTCCCTGCTTCCGTAGACGAATAATCTGGTGTCCTGATGTTATTTTCACTTCTGAGGTCAATTCCTTCAACACGTCATCGGACACCTCAACGGAGCTTCATACTGTGCGACCTTTGACCCTACACTTTGCACTGCCCACAAGATGATCCACTGCTTTATCCCTGGGATATTTTGAAGTCCTAACAGTATGTTTACATAGCTGTAAGCATTCACACTTGAAAAGCTCACAGAGATATCGATTTGCTAGCTTGACTATACACTATCCTAAAGCACGGTATCAAGTAGAATCCAAGTGACTATTACACAGCCTGTCTCCAGTTTCACCAAATTTAACAGATGCTTAAGTTTGAAGCATAATGGCCACAAAAATGTCCCCCAAATTGGTACGGGCACTCACATTCTTGTTGTACACACGACAGAAGAGAAGAACAGATCAATCCCTGTAGTCGAAGAACTCACATCCTAGGGAGGCCATTCGGTCAAATCTGTCTCAATTTGTTGGAAAAGAGGAGGGGTAGTTATGGAGGTTGATTCGATTGAGCTGCCTCCTGTGTTTAGTGGGGTGAACAGACTAGCATCCGTCTGGTTGATCCCTTTCCCGTTGCGTTGGCTCTGCCCAAAAGCTCCCAATCAACCGAGGTGGTGGCCGAGCGCCCAGCAGCCGACTTTGCATGATCGGACAGCTACCGTATTCCCAAGAGCATCCCATGAGCTTCATCTTGTTTGTGACCTTTGGCTGCTTCTTGTCGTGTTGTTCATCGATGATTTTCATACAATTTATCTTTTGTGATCAGGATCTATCACATTATTTATGTTGCGTACTAATCTTTTGCTCCTGCTGCTTGTCTCTGCCTTTGTGGGATGTGCTATCCGTGCTGTATTATTTTTGCAAAGGGAAGGAAAAATTACCAGCCTGTTCGTTTCGGCTGGATTGGCTTATAAGCCATGGCTGAAAGTACTGCTGGCTGGTTTGGTGTGATAGAAAAATACTATTCGTTGGCTAATAAGCCAAGACTTATAAGCCAGATACGAGCTGCCGAACAGGCTGTATATTAAAACTCGGCACAATATATATTAAATTACACATGAAAAAAATCTAAAATAAAAAATTTCTTTCATCGTCTTCTTTTTGAGCGGTCTTCCTCGATGCAGTCGATGCTCTAGATGAACAGAGCCTTGTTTAACACCAAAATCAAAGTGCAGTCCATATATAAAACGCAACGAACAACCCCAAAACATTGGACATGCCGCAATATCTAATATTTTGGAACCAATCCAAAACGCATATGAATTGATGAAAGAATCTCGGTAGTTGCATCATTGGGTACAACATAGAATGCAAATTCATCACCTCTAATCCTTGATTTTATGTCTGCTACCATCGATGATGAGATCGATGATCCGGAGTAACTATCTTCGTTGGGAGTGCCCAGAAGCACCCCTCCCCTTGCAGGCATGCAATGGTGACTTTGTCTTGGCAATCACCGAAGTCACTGTAGGTAACAAGATCCTGATTAGAGATCATCAAATTTCTCTGGTAGATTTATTTGGATTAAACCCTAAGCAAAGTAGATCTAAAAATTGCGTAAAAAGAGAGATGCCCCCCTCCCCTTGTTGCCACTAGAAGACTCGCCGATAAAAGGATCTATGGATGGCTAGAGGAGGGGTTTGAATAGCCTATTTAAAATCTCTACAAGGACAAGGACACTAAGGAAGAGTATTAGTATAAAAGACAATCCTAATAGCCACTACTTGCCTGGCCTAAACAAAACAACACAAGTCTCCTACACAATTCTAGTTGCAAACTTAATTAACAAACACGCAAGCAACTAAAGACACCTCCTAACAACTAGTGAGCTAACTTGAAGAGCTAGCAACTATGCGTTTGGATGTCTTGCCATCCCTTGCTTTCCATAGCCAGGTAAGAAATGTGATGTTTGGTTGCCTTACCTGCTGTCTTGATTTCTGTGCTATCAAGGATTTTACTTGCTAGGCTAGGTAAGACAAAATAGCTCTCCCATGCTGGCAAAGCTAACCTTTGCCAAGCTAGGTGAGGCAGCAAGATTACTAAACGTGCCCTAAGCTACACTAATCACTAGAGAGCTACCACTACTCAAACAAGTACACATGCACAAGTATTGAAATGAAATAGCAAGTGTAGATAGAGCAAACCAATGTGGACAAGTGACACAAAAATTTACCTCGAGGTTCGGTTGCTTGATGGCAACCTATGTTCTCGTTGAGGCGGATTCTATTAGACCACCGCTTCAATAGTCTCACGAGCACACAAACTTGGCCCTCACGACGTGGACACTAGTGTGAAGCCGGTAGATCACAAGAAACTCTCTAAGCCTCTTTTGATTTCACTATAGTTACTCTTCACGAACCTCCCGCAAGGATGAGCACAAAGCCCCTCACAAGTAGGGATGGCAATGGGTACATCCCCAGCGGGTATTAGAAGAATGCTCTCATGCCCGGTACAATAAACCTAGAACATGTCCTCTACTCTATAAAAGAATGTTATATCTTGATGAGGTAAATGTTCGTTAACAAAAATTTATCTAGATATATCTATGGGGGTCTTGTTTTGATGGATTTATTGTAAGAAACACAGGGGTGTAATCCAAATTTTATTTGGACGGTTAGTTTATAAACTATGGCTTTTTAAAATTTCGGAAACAAAGTCCACTAACACTGGTTGGCAGGTGACTCAATGCCACCCTGGTCGGTGCATATCACTGGTCCATAAGTGAAGGCTCATCTACTTCTACTAAACATAAATAGGAGACTCCCACTAAAGATTTTTGTGTGATTTTAGAGAGCCATGTCACCTATATGGCCCACACTTATTCACCCCTTTGTTCAATGCAGGAACACATGCAACGTTATTCTGATTGCCCTTTTTCCTTCGGAAGACAATCTCCACCCATTGGCCTGCAAGAACGTTAGCAAGACACTATCCCTCAGCCTGCTGGAACGGATCCCACTACCCATTAAGACCAACCAAAATGCTCCGGTAGGCATTACTCATGCACTGTTTTGCCTTCTCCATTTATATAACAATTGATAAATCAACCATAGTATATATATTGCACTTATTCTGTACAACCATCATCAACTTCATCTCCACTCAAGACCTTTTTTTTTTGATGTTGTCGTCTTCACCTCGACCCACATGTGTTGGAGTGGATTATGGTGGAATTTAGTTCAAGTTCTACTTCAATCCACCTCAACAAATCATATAGATTGATGCGAATCCGACTACATCCCATCAAGGCCCAAAAAGTGATCGACGGTGTTTCTCCAGCAACAGAGACCTGTGCTTTTCCCACGAGGCTTCGAATATCTTCTTTTGGTTATTCTTCTTCATCCATCATATCCACGGCTTCACACGCCAGCACACCACCATCACAGATGCACTGCTGGCGCTGTGCGTGCTCTCTTTTTCTCTGCACTATTTGCCTCGCAATACAAAATACAAACAGTGATTCATGCATCTTCCACGCAGCTAACATCAAATGTCCATAGGCTATTACCTGATTATGGTTTCTTATGACAAAACATTTTTACTTTATTATGCATGTTAGAGTTCAAAAATTAGTTATTTTTTCAGAATTATAAAACATATGGATTACATTTGATTGATATCTATAGGATGTTGCGGTGGTATGACTTGGAGAGTGCGAGCTTCACTGAGTTGGTCTGAATTGTTGCCACAGAGTTTGCATCAAGTGATTTTCACTTCTTCACAGACTACAATGCTCACGACCTAATTATAAATATTATTGTTTACGACAAGAAGAAATCTCATTAGTACGTCTATTATGGTCCAATGGTGCATCTTCGTGAATATAACCTATCCCTTTTTGGATGGATCCTATCTCTATTTCTGTACCCTACAAGAGAATTGTTATATTTTAATTGACTAGAAATGATATTGGTTACTCAAGAAGAAATACCATTATGGTGATCCAATGATGTACCTTCTTGAATATAACTTATCCCTTTTTTTATGGATCCTATCTATTTCTATACCTTACATTTTTTATGGATCGTATCAATGTTTATACCTTACAAAGGCATTATTATATACAACAAATTTGAAATTAGTTACACTAATTGCTGACACTTCCCCTCGAATCCAGAAGAACTATATCCACAAATCCTACTACAAAATGCCCACAACAATGCACGGGGCATCATCTAGTTACAAAAAAGACTAGGGCTTCCCATCCCACCTAGATGTCGTGACCGCGTTCGAAGCGCCCCCTTGGACCTTTGGCGTGGACATCGGACGGGAGAAACGGGTGCTAGTGCGCCACCACATCGGTCGCCGCCACCTGCCACTGCCCACCACCGAGGTTGTCGCGTCGTTCGCTGAGGTTGCCATGTGTCAGCCTCCGTAGCTCTATCATCGCCCACCTCCCAGGTGTAGTGTCAGCCATTGGGGCTGGAGTAGAGGTTGACGACCGGTAGGCTGAAGATTTGTCTATGCCAACATTTTGGCGAGGGGCTTCACCATCAGCTTTGGCTTCATTGACATTACCTACACGAACAATTCGGCGACGGGCTTCTCTATGGACTTTAGAATCATCGACTTTGCCTACGCCAACATTTCTACTCGAGGGGTTTCATCGTAAACTTCAGCGTCATCGACACCACCTACTCCAACATTTCTATGACTAGATTAGCCATCCACTTCACCTACACCAACATTTTGGCTCGAGGGGTTTTGTAGTCAACTTTGGCGTCATGGACACCGCCTATGCCAACATTTTGGCGAGGGGCCTCGCTGT